CTAAATAACCTAGTTTAGACCGAGGAACCTAACGAATTCAGCCAAACCAAATAATAGGATCATTCCCATTCCTTCCTCCATTCTGATTACCATTCCACTCCATCCCAAATGTCAAACATCACCTAAGTTCAATATCGCCTAACCCAAGCCCCAATTAGAGCGACATGGTTAGGCCCTAAGTATTATTATTACGGAAATGCTATAATAAGGGGGTTATGGGAGGGGTTTAGGGAGGTTTAGGACATGTGAAAATTTAAGCCTTAAGATATTATTCAATCACTCATTCGGGTCAAAAGAGCAAAATGTCAAGGGCCTTGCCCAATTTGCCATTTTGGTAGGTAGGGAAAATCAATTGCTTGTAGGTCCTATTTGATTCATGGAAAATGAGGCTTGGGGATGGGAAATCAATTGCTTTCTCATGTTTGGTAAGTTCAGGCATGGAAAATGGTTGCCTGACACATGGGAAAGTGAAGCCCTCCTCCCCACTTGAGTTTTGTTTTCTCTCTTTGTAGGAAAGTAAGGCTATCATTAAATACACAATTTTTATAACCAATTTGTCCTTAGTAATAATTTTTAATTACAATTTTATCCAACTACTATTGGTATTTTAAAAAAATATATATTCATATTTCTTAAAATCATCTTAGTAACATTCTATTTCTCATAACTCTTGTTTACACAGGGAATGCAAAACTTCAATCTTACCTAAGTTTCATATTTCTTAAAATCATCTTAGTAACGTTCTATTTCTCATAACTCTTGTTTACACAGGGAATGCAAAACTTCAATCTTACCTAAGTTTTTACGTTCTCATCCTCAGAGCAACTTCAAACAAGGTGGGTATTATATTCCTCTTCATCACCCAATATTTATAGACAACTTTGGAATGTTAATGATGCTGTACTTTTTTAAGAATCTTATAATTCAAGGTTTATACCTTAAAGTGATTTCTCAAGCGATTGATCTTAAGTAATTACAAGATTATGTGTAAGATGTGAATTGTGGGATGTGCTTGCAAGCTGTGTGATGATCATGTATTTGTCATATTGATTTTCCAATGTTCATTCTAGTTTTTTCCTTTTTCTTTTTAGGTTTGTTCAATTATTGCACCCTTACTACCTTCTTTTCATCTAACTCTACTTCCATTACACTTTTTGCTTGATAGAACAGACATGAACTAATCCCACCAAGGCCAGAAAATGAAATTTTGCATATTTGGACTATGAATAAAACGTTAGTGTAATGTTTAATAATTCAATTGGAAAGTTTAATAAAATGAACATATTTTTCATACTTTTAACAGAGGTACAATTGGGAAACCAAACAAAATTCGTTTTCCATTCATACTCAAAATAAATATAGTAAAGGAAATAAAATGATATTTCCCGGTTACTTTTCCAGCATTACCAAACATGAATATGGAAAATGAATTATCATTTCTCGTCCTTTGAGAAATAACATATGAATAAAACGTTAGTGTAATGTTTAATAATTCAATTGGAAAGTTTAATAAAATGAACATATTTTTCATACTTTTAACAGGGGTACAATTGGGAAACCAAATAAAATTCGTTTTCCATTCATATTCAAAATAAATATAGTAAAGGAAATAAAGTGATATTTCCCTGTTACTTTTCCAGCATTACCAAACATGAATATGGGAAATGAATTATCATTTCTCATCCTTTGAGAAATAACATGAGAAATAATTTTCCATCAAATTCGTTCCATGAACCAAACGGGCCGTAATGTTTGAATTAGCTAAGCATTCGGCTCTCCTCCTCTATCCAGACCAGACAAGAGTGACATTGATGTACTGATTTGCTTTTTATACTAATGAACTTATTTGACTTTCAAGACCCCTAAAAAGAATAAAAAGTCTTTCCTTAATAGCCATCAGCAAGCATCTCTTAACACTTATTTTTTGAGAAAATTGGTGCCAGGGCCCATCCTTAACACAAATTTTATATCCACCCAGATGTTTTATCTCTAAATTTTAATGCTCCCTGACTCGAAAATAGGACATATATATTTATATATTTTTTGGACGAACGAAAATAGGACATATCGTTCTTAAGTTCTTTGGTTTCTTTTAGTCTTGGTTTTAAATCAAAGTAATAATCATTAAGTTTTGCGCATTTGGTGCACATGATATATTGCTAAAGATTAAACAGTACTCACATGACCAAAGTGCTAATGTGGTTTTAAAAAAAGAAGAGATATTTACGAATATATCCATTTTTAGCACCAAAAATATAAATAAACCCTACACCATTTAATAAAAACAAACCAAAAAACAACCCAAAAAAAAAAAAAACAGTTGGCTCTATTTAATTTAATTTTGATTATTAAATTACTTTGATGCCCTATTGAGTGTTTTGAGTTTTTTTATGAGATTTTGCGGTTGAGCTTGTTTTAAGAAATCGATGGCAGTTTTGTAATTTATAAGAAGTTAAAAGCCTCTTTGTGATGTTGTAAATGGACTTTGGGTGTGTTTTTAAAGTCCATTTCATATAAGGTATTTTTATAATTTGAGCTCCTATATTGGGTACAATAGTGAATCTCCCTAAAAAGAAAAGCGATTACATGGGTTAGGATTAGAATAGATGCATGGCTCGATTCCTTCTAACGTAATTAAAAAAAGTACACGCATGACATTAATACTATGTAAATAAACAAAGATGCAACAAACACATCAGTTGATAACATAAGATTCATAACACTCAGCCCATCCGGTCTTTAAGAAAGATATGAACTACGAACAGATAATTTCTGTATACGAATAATCTTGATACATTTTGTGAGAATGAGAATCTTTTGTGTTCTTATTCTTTCCTTCTTTATAACCACACCACACCTAGTTGTGGGCATCAATCCGGCCAAACCGATGAAACCAACGGACCCACACCCCCTCGTCCTCGTCCTCATGAATCCCTTTTGTCCCTTTCAAGACAGTTCAGGCACAGGCATTGATGAGTTACCTTTTTCATCTATTGGGCCTAAATAAGTTGCCACGACTGAGTCTCTTCTCTTCCCATTTCAACTCGGACGAAGCAGAGTACGGATGGCCCTACTGACCTAACAAATAAGGCAGCTAAAATAAATGGCTTGACAAAATAGCGATCAGGAATTTAATGTTGTTTATGGACTTCACCATCGCAAGGAACAGAAGAAACTAAAGCCATCTGCTGCCACGTGTCCAAAACTCAAAATACCACAGGATTCTCTGTTTTTTGGTTTTTGGGGGTAATGTCCTGAATGAGCTTTAGATTCCAAATAAGTCTTCTCCTAATCACAAGTTTACTCATGAACATACAAAAAAAGGTCAGAACTCACAACACCAATTGGCCCTGAAATCTTCATATGGCCTCAGGATTGGATCAAAACCAGATAGGATTATTAAGGTGACAAAAAAAATGCAAACTCTAATGACACTACATGCAAAGTGCAAAGTGCAGCATCAGTTTAGTTTCTGATATCAACAAAAATGACTTCAGTGAACCATTGCTATTTAATTTCGATCCCCAAATTTGAAAAAGAAGAAAACAGGTTATCCAAGATTGTGGGAGTTTCAAGAACTTTTGTCTTCCTTGTAGAACAAATCATGTTGTTCCAGTACAGAGTTCTAGCCAACAACTCAAACATTTAGCAGCACAATGCTTAAGATTGCATAATATTGCTACCTGTTAACCTTTTCCATTTCCCTTTATCATATTACCTTCTAAATGAAGGCAAGCTTAGCTGCCACAGAAATATAAACATTTCTTGAGCTATTGAAACAATCCACAAACACCCAGGAGGCTTCGGCCATAAAAAACAACAGCAAAGGAAAACATTTGATTCTGAAGGTTTGATGGAATTGTTATGATCTGAAACCTCTCACACTCAGACAAGTTTTTGTACCAATTTCTTGATACTTCAAGAAGCAGCTAGGCTGACTTCCATCCTGATTGTAATGCAGAAAATACATGTCAAATGCTGTACATATACTAATATAAGAAATATTAATACCAAGCCCTCACTAATCAGATCATTAGATATGATCAGTAGAATGGTATATAAAATGTCCGGGAGCAATACACCTGCTTCATCAATGATGGAAAATGAAAGATTACGAGTGCCTTTACCATTCTCTTTGTGACAAAAGGACCTTTAACAATGATTTGAAAACAGCATGACAAAACATACAAAGAAAGTAAAAGAACTTGGAATTTAACCACCAGCCAGACTTTGATTATAATGAAACAGAATCTAAAATGTCTTTAGAACTGAATAGAACAAGGCATAAACGAAAGGCTACAGAAAACTTCTATTAACAGTATCCAGTTGAGGATAGAATTATTTTGTTGAACAATAGAGCCAAAAGCCTATTTCATGTGCAACCGATCAGGTTCCCTTCACATAAAACCAAATACAAAGGGAATTTGGAGGACAAAAGATGGGGAAAGAAAATAGAACAAAGGGTATCGAAACACTTTCAGCCCTTTGCCGGTCTCCTTTAAATTGTAGGCTTTGTGATACAATTAAAGGTCAGCAGGTCTTCGCTTGGATGACTGGCACCCATTGGATCAGCTTATCGTCATTACCAGGCAAAAACAAAACAAAAAAAAAAGGAAAGACTTTCAACCCTTTGACTATTCTGACGCAGTAACAGCCAGGCAGCAAGCAAGACAGAAAAGGGTATGGCTAAGAATTTAAAGACTCTTTTCATTTTGCTCATGGTGTCAATTTTAATAGGAGACTAAACAGAGTGACAGAAATTTTGAACACCAGATATTACCATCAGACTAACTGATATCTTCAGAAAAAGAATAGATCAGAGAGACTGATATCTATAGGAAGCAACCACACCTGATGAGCATTAACTAATTAATCTGACGTGGAGATACTAAAAGACACCCTAATCATGAAGCACAACGATTTAAATTCATGCCATTGAAGAGGAACCACAAGAATCTAACTTAATAATACAAGCGCAAAACCTATATGCACGCATAATAGGTACATCTATAAATTCCCACATGCCTAAATATTAGATATCAAATCATTAGATGGCTAAACAGTAAATGCAAACCTATATGTATAACCTATTTGCTAATCTGTATGCAAAACTAGAAATAACTACAAGAATCAGCGTGAAACATGAAAAGAAAGTTAAAAGATGAAACATGTAGATGCAAGGTAACACTTCACATTCAACCTCATAAGGTTTGTCGGCTCAACTGAACTGAGGAGGTCTTCCAGAACAAGGAAGCATGCAGTCAATAAACCCTGTAAAGAAATGGGGTTTGCAAACTATGCGAAACTCTGCGCCCCCCCCAAATGATGTAGGGAAGTCTGTCAAACGTTGTAAATAATCAGAATCATTTATAGAAAACGAAAGAAAACACAATGAATCTCCCACAAGCCTAACAAGCTAATACCATTAACAAGGTCTGAAATTGATTCTATATCATGTACATATATATACATAAACTCCGTCTTTACATATTGGAACTACATCAATGTAAAGCAACTAGATCGACCCTGCATCCTGCCCCCAATGAGCAATACAAAATGACCGAGAAAAAAAAACTACAACTAAAAAAAGGGAAATTAGATAAATTTTCTCCTTCTTTCCTCTTATATATTTTTGTTTTGCCTTCTATAGGGTAATTCCAAATCTTCTTTTGTAAAAATTCAGGGCATAATACCTCTAAATTGAGGGCCACGCCACAGGGGCAGCTGCCTTTTCCATTTACGAAGTTTCAACAAAGTCACAATCTTCTGGGCACAATACAAATCTACCTCTGCAACAAAGACCCAATTACAATTAGCAAGAGAAATCTTAAAAAAAAAACCAAAGAAAAAACTTAGAATTTGTAGAAACAGAGAGAGAGAGACCTTAGAAGGAGAATCAGCAACCTTGTAAGCATCCGCAGTAACACCCACCAACCACAACCCCGGAAAAGTAGTCTGCAAATTCAATCAAGCCACATATAAATTATAAAAAATAATAATTAAAAAAAAACTTGCTAAACTCAACAACAAAACAAGCACAGCAGAAGCAGCAAAGGAAGAAACGAAGAAACAAAGAAAGGGAAAGAGCAAGGTGGACGTACATCGAGCTGTTTCTGAACATTCTTCGGCCGCTTCTTGGGCCTTCTGGCAGGCCTCGACCCAGTCATCACAAATATGTCCTCTTCAATCTCCTCCTTCGACAAAGCGATCCAGAACTTCCTCTTCTCCTTCTTCTCCACATTCTGCCCCTCCGCCGCCAAACCCCTCAACCTCATCGACTTCGGCTGCTGCAGCTCGCTCTGGTTCGGGTTCGGACTCTCCAGTTCGTGCGGTTCACCGTTGGCACCTCCCTTGGAAAACGACGTCGTCGCCGGAGCTCTCCTGGGCCTCAGATTCCAGGGCTTCTGAACTACCTCGGTTTTGTCAGCTTCCTCGCCCTCCTCCTGATCGCTCTCTCTCTCTTCGCTCCTGCGACGCTTGTCGCCAGCGCACGGGATCAAGGAGTAGCGGTGGCGGGCTGCGCGGGAGGATCCGACCCGGCTGTTGTTGTGGTGGGTGCGTTCGGATTCGGAGTCGGGCTCGGAGGCGGGTTCGGCGGAGACGGGTCGGCGGTAGCGGTGGTTGTTGTTGGTGGTCGAGTTGTTCTTCGCCCCCCATTTCAAGAATGCGAGAGGGAAGTTGTGCAGCGGCGGCTTCACTGGCGCCGTCGCCATTACTGATCAACTCACAGAGCTCAAAGCCTTCAAAGTTCAAACCGAAAGCCTATACATACACATCAAACCATATATGTATATATATATAATATATATGTATATCAAATTTGTATGCTTGTGCTTCAAGCTTTTAGAGAGAGAAAGTGAACAAGAAGCGAGAGAGAGAGAGAGAGAGGGGTTGTGTGTGATGTGAGGGGAGGAAGTGGAAGGGAGAGGGAGGCCTTTTTATGGTTTTATATGTATACACTAGGAAAAGAGGAGAAGCAGGGACTTGGTTTTTTCCTACCTCTACGTCTACAAGAAGCGAGAGAGAGAGAGAGAGGGGTTGTGTGTGATGTGAGGGGAGGAAGTGGAAGGGAGAGGGAGGCCTTTTTATGGTTTTATATGTATACACTAGGAAAAGAGGAGAAGCAGGGACTTGGTTTTTTCCTACCTCTACGTCTACGGCGTTACGGTTGTGAATTTACTGTTTTAACCTTGGCCTTTTTTTTCTTTGTTTCCGTTTGTGGGACCAGGTTGGACCATTGTTGTTCTGTATTGTACTATTTTGACCTCTTTGGGCTCGTTTGGTACACCGTATTAGACTTTGGATAGGAGTAAATAGTCTATGTCAGGTGTTTGGTGTCAACTTGTATTATTTAATTACCCGACTATTTTATACGGGTTGGGCTTTTAATACTCTCCTTACCTGACTAACTAATACAACCCACACACCCCGGATTAGATAATACACGCTTAATTATACGGCTAGGGAATAAGAACACGCGTTCTACGAAAAAAGTCAGACGCTCTTTTCATCTTCTTCTCGCTAGGGTTCTCTGCTATCTTCTCCACATGTTATTTTCTTCACTCTTCTCCAGGTATCCATCTCTCACTCTCTCTCTCTTTTTCATACTCTCTCCAATATGCTTCTTCTTTCTTCTTCTCTATTCTTTATATATTTCAATTTTTTATTAAATTTTTGTGGAAATTAGGTTATTAATTTTTCTTTTTTGACATTTTTTTAATCAAATGTTTTCTTTGTATGTGATATATTGATTCAACGTTGTAGGAATATTTAGATTGTTGGTATTAAACAGAGTAGTGGTAGTTTTCGTCCAAAAGCAAACAACTGTGCTAGTGTTGGTAGTTTAGTTGAATACATACATACCTGACGATTAGGTAGCAAAATTACAAAATTAAAATTGTATGAACTTGAATTCTAGGTACCTTTTTTTTTTCTGGGCGACCATGGGCCCTTTATGATGTTTTCCTCTTGAACCATTTTCTTGATTGATAAATTTTCTCTCTTCCTTTTCTTTTTACAATTCCCAAGCTTGTGGCCTTGGCTCTTTTGATTGCATTGCTTCTGTTTTGCTGCTACTTTCTCCTTCTTCTTGTTGGACATGGAAACTTTGATGTCCAATACAGACATATGCAGATCAATATTCATAATACAATTCTAATAGTTAAACCACATATATTTATGTATATGCAATCGGGATGGTATTTTGTAGCCTTTTGTCATGTGTAGAATTCTACTTATTGTTGTATTATTCTAATTTCCAAAAAAAAATATGAATCTTATGGTATCTTGTCATATGAATCTTAACAAAAAAAAAAATTCATGTCATTTGAATCTCAATTTCCATTAAAATTATCAAAGATTTTTTATTTATTTTTAAGATTTAAGTTAGTCCCGTCTGTTACCAAACATGGGTTTCGAGTGCTATTTAGCCTAGTCCAGTCCAGTCCAGTCCAGTCCAGTGAAGCGTACCAAACATACCCTTTAGGTACAATACCTGATGAGCATGATGGGTCTCTATAGTGGGGTCCACTGAATGCTGTAATCGGACGGAACGCCTTATAATATTATGGATAAATAGTCAGTACTCTCCGGAACAGATTAGTACTATCCGACAGAAATTAGTCAGTACAGTTCGACGTACCAAACGAGCCCTTTAGGTACAATACCTGATGAGCATGATGGGTCTCTATAGTGGGGTCCACTGAATGCTGTAATCGGACGATGGACGCGCGTAATTGAAGAAGATGATGTACAGTATTTCCTGGTGTCGCTGGGTTTTCGGTGAGGTATTTTCCTCATGTCTTTTGGTTTTGGCAAAAAAAGAAAAAAGAAAGAAAAAAGGCAATTATGTTTAGATTTTAAATGGGCAAATACGTAGAAGTTCATATCCAAAATATATATATATAAAAAATAACCTATTGACACTTATGTTTTGATCGAGATGCTACTATTATTCAAAGCATAGAATATGCAAAATATGTAGGTTCAGATTAGAGGTGTCAAACGGGACGCGTCGACCCAATAGGGCATGAGCTCAACTCGTTTAAATGGGGCACGACACGACACGAGCACGAATATTAATAAGTCAGGCTCGACACGTCATGAAAGTTTGGATCGTGTTGGGATGAGAAAATTAGGTCTAATAGACCGAGTCGACCCACAACCCAACATGGGCTTGCTTGGCTTGAGTCCGCTTCAAGCCCAACATGAATCTGGCACGGCCCATTTAACTTGTCAAACCCACTTATGTTTATTCTTAATGACTTGGAAAGCACATGAGCCCATTAATGTCAAACCCACTTATGTTTATTCTTAACGACTTGGAAAGCACACGAGCCCATTGCTGTCAAACCCACTCCTCTTCCTCTCGATAAAAAAAACAACGCAGAAAAAGGCGTCTCTTTTCCTCTTCCTCTCGAATCTCGATTTCTGGATTAGTGGTTTCTCGGTAAATTTAGGAAAGGTCAGATTATCAAAGCGGAGTTATGGGGGTTTATTCTTTGGATTGCAGCTCGCTGTGAATACCAGAATTTCAAATATTTTGATTGAAATGGACTCTGCGCTGGTTGTGAACTTTATTAAGAATCTTGAGGCAGCTGGTGCTCATCCTCATGCTGGTCTGTTTTATGGCTGTTGGGATTTAATGAAGACGATCAGTACTTGTGTTATTCAGCATGTGTATAGATAAAGAAATTATGTGGTTGATAGGCTTGCGAATGGCAACTATAATCTGAACTTAGGCCTATAGTGGTTTTGACTCTGCGCCTTCGTGAGTGGCAAAGGCCTTGGCGGATGATTTGTTAGGGGTCTCTAGACTTCATTTTGTTTGTTTGGTGTAGTTTCTCTTTGGGGTTCTTCCCCCGTGTTTCATAAATAAATAAATAAAGGAAAAAGAAGAACAATAGGGAGCACCCCCATATTTCTTTTACAAGCCAAGCCAGTCAAGCAAAACCACAATGTACAAAAGATGAATTCTTCAAGGAGGCAATCCACCCAGCTTTCTTATGCTTTCTCAAGCCCCCGTCTCGCTTTAAATATATCATGCATGAATACAAGCATTTGTGAATTAATTCACACAGAATATATACATACAATAAATTCACGTCAAGTAAAAGCATGCTGTGTAAAAGGAAAATAAATTATTTTATCTACAACCCAAACATATTAGTCAAAGCAAAATATATGTTCTGATAAATAATGCCAACCAAACTCAGTGGCATTATTGTGAATTCAAGCAAAATTGATGGCATAATTGTAAATTTAAGCAAAATCGGTGGCAGAATTGTAAATCCAGGCAAAATCAATGGCGTAATCGTAAATCCAAGGAAAAGTAGTGGCAAAATTGAAAATGTAAGCAAAAGTGGTGGCTGAAATGTAAATTCAATCAGAATAAGTGGCAAAATCATAAATTCAAGGAGCTTGGGGGAAGTGATTCTTGGCGATAAGAGGCGATTTTTGCAAAACACCAAAAACAATCTAGATTGTGAAATTTGTAAAATTAAAATCATCAACAATGATATAGAAGCAAAGAAAAGTCATGTTCTCATGCCAAACATTATTGCAACAAAAGGGATATCTCAAGCCACACCATGCAATGACTAAAATAAATACCAACAAGGCCATGCTGCAAGAGTTTTTGTATTGGAACTCATGCAAATATAATATTTTTCTGATAATTAGAATGCCATGAACTTGGGGGCTTCTCTTTTAGTTGCCTTTTACCTCTCGCAAACAAGCATAAAACTTCACGACAATTACTTGGGGTTTATGAGTAAATAAAATTTGACAAGGGAGCAGAAAGTTATGCATGATTACCAAACCCATGCAAGCAACATACTAACTAATACCAAGCACACAAGTCAATGCAACCCGTACAAATCACAATCATGCAAAATCAAGCCTTTCTAGTCACTCAAGCAAATCAATCAGGCAAGCTAAGCTATTTTGGGCTAAATAACAAATTCAACCAAGCATTATCTTTTCTTTCATGCCACAAAATAAGCCAACTGTTGGTAACTTCATTGAGTAACCTCCGCTATTATAGTGTCTAGGAAAGGCTTTTAAGGCAACACCTTCGATGTCTAAGAAGGATTGGGTTTTAAGCGGGACCATTACGACCCCTCCAACCTTCCCGGAAAGACCTGGCTATAATTTCAGAGACCTTAATTGGTCATCCTTGAATTGTTTATTGTTACATTTAAATATATATGACCAAGCTCACTGATAAAGCAAATCAAAGCAATGCCAAGGCAAGAAGGAACTTACAAGCCAATTACAACATGTCGAGCAGATTTACTAGCCCAATTCACATGCCAAGAAAATTGCAACATGTCGAGAAAGCAATCCAAACAATCATGAACTATTAAAATTATTCAAGTTGAAGCCATTTGGACACATGCCTAAACCCATGCCAAACCATGTCATGCAATATCAAGTTCCCGCAATTACTAGTTTCTTGCAAACAAACAATCATAACATACAAAATCCAATTGTGTAAGTAACAAAGCAAGTAACTCAAGAAAAACATGCACCAAGCAATTACATTTTGTTTCAACCGTAATCAAGCAAGCATGGTCGCTTGATGCATATTGAAGGCTGCTGAAAGATCATTATAATGATGTCAATACTGGAAAGAGCTAGTCATGCCACTGCCATATCTTTTGGGTTGAAAATTGATTATTCAAACCATTTCAATGCTTTTTCATGGCCCCAATAATCAAGGGTACCAATGTTAAGGCTCAAAATGTCACGAGAAGTCCAATGATATTTCAAGCCCAATATAACATACAATAGTTGCCACATGCTAATCCAAGCTATAGTTTGGGAATTAATTCATTAAATAAATATAGAAATAGTGTACATGTCATGCGAAGCAAATAATACATTTATGTATGCTAAACCACCTAACAAACTTAAGTGGGCCCATGCCACATACATGTCTGGGGCTTGCTGACCGGGTTGTGATGTGGATGGGTACAAGGATCCATAAGGCCCATTAAAGGTTCAAAAGAATGAAGGTTTTGGTTTGGTTTTAGGTTTTAGGTTCCTTTTCTGTGGTTGCGGTTCGACATTGGTGACTGGTCACGGGTGGTGCGGCTTTCCCCTGATCCTTATTCTTCGACTTTTTTATGTTTGTGATATATTTTTCCATTATGTTGGCTTTATGGCCCTTTTTGCTTTCTTAGATTAGTTCGGGTTCATGATCTTCATTCTATAACTGCGCTTTAGTTTTAGCTAGATTTGTTCCCGAGTTTTATTTATGGGGGGTTCTTTTGGGGGTGTTTTTGTTCGACTCTAATTCTGTATTCCTCGCCCTTTTGTGGGTCTTCAATGAATTTCTACTTTGACCCAAAAGAAAAAAAAAATTTATTTGTTATATTTTAAGCCCAATTTTTTTATACATTTAACAATAAGCCCAATTATATTCAAATCCATTAAGCCCAATTTTACATCTAACTAACAAACCCAACTTCACATCTAACTAGCCGAGCATTTTTTTTTTCCGTCCCAAAAAAAAAAAAAATTAAAAACTAATAACCCTACCTCTTTTTTTGGGCAGATTAACCCCTCTACCTCTTTCCCACTCAAAACCCTAGCATTTCAACGTCTTCTTCTTCTCTACTCTCTTGTTCTTCTTCTCTCTTCTCTTATTCGCTCATTTATCTCTCAACTACGGAATCCATCCCCACTCACCCAACCGCAAACCCCATCCCTACACCCACTGAATCGAACAAACCCAACCCTCAATATATCAATGTTACGAAACCACCCTTACCTCCCCGAAGATCTTCAGGTGCCATTTTGCTTTTACCTCATTTCAATTCCTTTCCAAATCTGCAGCGACGACTGCAGATTGACTACTGCAATTTCAAGGTTTAGGGTTTAGGAACCTGTTAAATGTAATGCATGTACTTCATTTCAATTTTTCAGGAAGCATTGGAACACTTGGCATCTATTGATCTGATTGACTTATGCAATGAGGCTAAAGTTGAGCGCTGTCGGGCAACAAGAGACCTGAGAAGCTGTGGGCGATATGTAATGGATGTGCTCAACTCTTGTGGACATGCTTCATTATGTGCAGAGTGTAGTCAGCGGTGTGATGTCTGCCCAATTTGTAGAATTCCAATACCAAAGAATGGCAAAAAATTACGTCGTCGCCTTTACGATCAGTGTTCGGAAGCTCGCCTTATATCCAAAAAATGTGATAAGAGATTTCAAGAGAAAGAAGATGGGGAGGAGCATATATCTGTTGACGTCCAACGCCTTTATTCTCTATTTGATGTCGCCCTGGAGAATAACTTAGTTTCTTTGATATGCCACTGTATCCTTTAGTGAACTTTTGTCTTTCTTGAAACTCTACTGTCACTTGTGTTAAATGTTCATATGTTTTCTTTGACATAGATTAAACAGATGTTACAGATGTTTGTTTGGATGAAAGTGCAGTGTCCAGTGATCCTGTTATTGCTTTTTTATTGGATGAAGTGGTTGTTAAGGATTGGTGCAAACGAACATTCCAGAACATCATCATAGAACTTCAAGGCATTTGTATCCTTATATCATTTTTCAAAATTTTTGAAATATGTTATTTTCTGCTCATGTATACTTTGCATATTTGAATGATTTGTATTTCTTAATATATTATCCTAAGATAATCTTGAAACAGAACAGATGAAATCTACGTTGAGTGCACTTCTTAAGTTCTCAGCACAATTGGCTGGCATATCTAATGTGCTTGATGTTCTGGATTCATCTTTTAAGGGGTCTCTTTCAGCTCAGCTTCAAGACTTGCACCAGCTTCAAGAGAGCATATTGAAGACAACGCAGGTCGTTGCTATGATGGTTTACCCTTTTTGTTCTTCGTGATGGTGGCACCTGATTTTTATTTGTGTGAGGATACTTGCTATTATACATAATTACATAACATAATTGCCAACAAAAAAATTGTTTAATTTTAGAGCTTGATGTTGATAAATCTGCAGACCTAGAAATTCAGTTCGGACAATTGAACCTTCTCAAACTGTTTCTTTTTAAGAACCAAAAAGATTTGTGATTTGTGATATCATATTATACATGCTTCAGTTTTTCTAATTTTTAATAGTTTGTAATTTAAACTATCGAGGTAGTACTAACTTTTTAGCTATAATAATTTCGAAGCCCTTGAAAGCACAAGAAGCTACAGCATATCAGATTTAGTTTATAGAAAGATAAACTGTTTTCTATGTTGCATATTTTACTCGTGTTCCTAAAATTTTATTGTAGCACAATTGCTACCTGTGATCTTTTGATATTTTATAATATTAATTACTTTGTGAGTTTGGTCGAATCTTACACGTTTTCTTCTATACGCTTTTCAATTATGGATTTCCAAAGAGACCAGGTTGCCAATAAAGTTCCTATATGTCTGCAAATATTTTGTAATTGTTGTTTGACATTTGATTTTTTATTTTCAGCATATGGAGGCCATGATATGGTGTCTACGACATGAATTCCTTGAGAATGTGAGGCCTCGCAATGCTAATTTCACATTGTGGCGTTCTCTTGTACGGGAAAGGAAATCAGCTGCAATTAAGCGTTCATGGCCTGATGCAGTAAATAACTCTGAAGCATCCACGGGACAGGAAGGTACCCTGTTTATTGAGGACGCCCTGGTAAATCTGGAGATTGAGCAGGGAAATACAGTGAAACTGGTAGAGGAATTAAAACTTGCATCTTTGCAGAAGGATGGAGTCTCATCAATTTTCAGGTCTGAGATAGAGGGGGTTGCAGGATGCTATCCGTTTGAAAATGTTCGAGCTGCTGTTGATATACTTTTTTTATGTGCTAGTTCAGATTTGGTGGTTGCGAAGCAAGCGATTGTATCCTTTCTTTTTCTTTGAGTTTTGTATGTTTCTTTTAATTGTGCATTTCTTGAATTCCTCCCTCCCCCACTTCCAGGGATATCTGTATTTCCTTAATCTATAACAGTTTCTGTACTACCTATTTGATCGGCATTGGACAATGCCTGATGAGCAATGGAGACACATTGTAGAGGATTTCGGAGCCACCTTTGGCATTCCCAGGCATTTATTATTGGAATCCCTAATTTTTTATCTCTTGGATGATCACATAGATGAGGCTCTGCAGGTAAGTTCTGCTTAATTTTTCCAGATGGTTATTGCTTTTGAATGCTAGTTTTTCTCTCTCAATGCCATAAGATTCGTGTTTAACCAATCGTATCAAGATTCAATGATGTTGTTTAATTCAAATTTTATGCTCAATTCGTATGTCTGTGGTCAGGCTGTGGCATTCTAGGGGGAAGGGTTCTTCTCCAGTCCTTGCTAATCTAGGAAAAGAGATTGCGACTTGAGAATATCAAATAAGATTTTGAGGCAAATGTGATCTGACTCTATCTGTTGTGGTGCTGCTTGTTTGAGTTCAAAGTAGACCATTATTATTATTTTAATAATTAAAATTAATTGGTTTACGTATAATGTTTAGCCAAGCTAATGGGATGTATATGAAAATTTTGATTGGGGGGTAAAACCAGGAAATATTCTGGTGCTGTTGCAAGTTGTTATATTTGTAGAAGACTGTTCAAATTTATGCTTTTTGTTTGATATTAGATTATTTAGTCCCAGATTCATTTTAAGGCTTGATTCGACTTTATAATATATTTCTCAGGAAGCTTGTCACCTTCTTCCAGAGATCTCAGGCCCAGCAACTCATCCTAAGATTGCACAAGTACTACTAGAAAGGGGAAACCCTGATACAGCCCTTTCGGTTTTACGATGGTCCGGGCGTGATGGTACATCAAAACCAATTTCACTTAGTGAGGCTGTAACTGCAGTTCGGGTGAGGGTAGAGTGTGGACTTTTTACCGAAGCATTTATACATCAAAGAATGCTCTGCACCAAAGTGAAGGAGAAGAAGTTGAAGTGTGGACAATTTGGTGATGTAACTGATGATTCAACATGCAAATATAGGAGTTGGGAAGACTGGGTGGAGATATTGGTTACTGAAATTTGTGTCCTTTGTATACGAAGGAACATGGTAGATCGAATGATAGAGTTGCCGTGGAATTCTGATGAAGAGAAACATCTCCATAAGTGCCTGTTAGATTATACTAATGATGATCCTTCCTCAATTATTGGAAGCCTTCTTGTCGTATTCTATATTCAGGTAATTATTATCTATTTTTATTGTTGGCTGCGGTTCAAAATCGAGTATTGTGGTTCAGCATCTTACTAGTGCTATGCAGTTATGCATTGTAACCTTTAAGAAAAGCATCATCATTTATGTTGGCAGTTTCTGTAGCTCATAATGCGTTTAAAGCTTGAGAATTTATGTTCATTTGGGGCCAGTTAATGGTGTGAGAAATGCTTGCTTTAAAGTTTATGAAAGTCAACAATGTTTGATTATGCATATCATTATTGCTGCAGCTCTCTCCACAATTTTATGTGTAGTTCAGGATGGCTTGCAAATGGAAGGGATCACAGGCCCTTTGCATTTACCTTTGTGGCATTTAAGCACTTTAAGGAGTCACACTGTTTTCTGGACTATTTCATCTGGTTTTCTTATATTATTAGTTTGTAGACTGTTTTATCTACTTACTTTTTGAAGATGTTCTCAGTAGTTAGTTCCATTAAAAGAGCAAGTTCTGTGTTGAGATTTTCTGACATAAAATTGCCCATTTTCCGTCCTTATGCCATTTCAGCGCTACAGGTACTCTGAAGCTTACCATGTTGATCAAATACTTAAAAACGCGGAGCAGGAGTTCATCTCAAAGAATTCTGTCAGTGAAGAAGTTTTATCTAGAATGAGATCAATGAGCGGCTGGAGAACAGGATTAATGGTAAGTTGTTTAATTTTTTAAGAGCGTATGACCATGTGATTTTCTTTGCTTTATTCTTAAGTTTGATATGTAAGTCATTTGTAATGCAATATGTAACCAAACTGGTTAGAAGCAGCTTATTCGACCCCAATGTTAACATTCTTATATGACAATCAGCCAGTGATTTAAGCATATTGGAGTGAGTCTCTTTGCGGGTACATGGTGCTTTCCTTGTTTTGTAATTAGATGCATTTGATGAACAGGATAAATGCATGGAGTTGCTACCAGAAGTCCAACGACAACAAGTAAAGGCTGGAAAGTTTCCTGAGATATCTGGTGCCACCTCTAGCGAAGTTGAAATGTCAGCAACATGTCCTCTTCCTGAGGTGCAAGTGTCAAAATCAAATAGTTTACTGATTCCTTCGTCCGTTGATTTTTCTCATGCTTTATGGACGGATCGCATGAATCCTTCCTGGAAACCTTCAATATCTGAAACCCCCAAAAAAAGAGTGGTGTTAGTTGACAGTTATCGCTCTGACCTAGGTAACCATGGTTCTTCAGTTCTGCATGAAAGGTTATTTACCAATTCTGAAATGCAATGGAAGCCTGATAATAGCATAAACAAGTCCTTCAATTTTGAGGATGCATCAACTCCTGAAATTCATTGGGCTACTCCCCCCTCAGCAGTTAAGGGTGGGAACAGGAGTTCATTTAAATTACTTTCAAATAGCCATCTCCAGGACAATCAATATGATAAGATGTCACCAGAAACCGAAAAGAACAGGAGCTTCAACCCTTTCAGAAATACAAGTCCTTTACACTACTACAGTGCTAATTCTAATCCAGTAACTACACCCAGCAGCAACCATGGCCAGTTCAAAGATTCTGCAATGAACCTGCATCGCGTGTCCAGTAAGGCATATTATCCAGATAGGGATGATAGACCTTGGGATATGGTTTCCAAGGATGACTCGATGAACATTTCCTTGAAGTGAGTGTTCAAATTTTTTATTTTTCCCTTCATCTCTCCGGCCCCGTTAAAATCTTATTTACTTTGTTACGTGTGTGGTATGACTGTTTGAGAAGGTTTACATTGACATTCATTTCAGTGTTTTATTTCTTTTTAATACAAATTTTTTTCTTAATATTCAGCTATAGAGAAAAGAGTTTTGGAATTGAGGACAGAAATTTGAATCATGGACCAAGATGGAGGTCTGATGAAACCAGTGACGAGGAAGAGGAGCAGAGTCCACAGAAAGCCATTGACATCACTCATCATACCCCTACTAGTACTACAAGGGGAGTCAGAAGAAGCAGATTTTCCAAGAGATGAAGATCTTCCAGCTGCTCGTTTTAAACTTCAAAATGGAATCCATATCCCGCCGTGATCTTTCCTTAGTACGGTTTGGGGAGAAGGCGGCCTTCAAGGGCTATAGAGAACAAAGCTGGTTTATTGTACATGGGGTTCATGCTGATTGAGTTCAAGGGTTCCCTTTGTAGGGCAAGTAAGTATAGTATACATAATACTGTTTAATAGTTGTGAAGTGTAGCTAAGATCAGATGCCTAATTTGATGGGGTATCTCCATTTCTTCCTGCAATTGCTTCCAAGTTGATCAGAGATGAATTTCTAGTTTTCTACCGGCTACAAACTGTGAAAACCCGGCGAGAATTTTGAACCATTGAAGTAATCTCAATGCTGAGAGAGCCTGAGGCAAAAGGCTTTTGGTAGTTTCGACATCTTGCTAAGTTGTATTTTAACATAGTGCACGTTTGTGGATGAGAATGATAGTGTCCAGTTAACCAAAGAAATACTGTTTGCACTCTGTCGTTCAGAATTCGCGCACGTATCTTTTGTATGCATTTAACAATGGTCTAGGTAATGATCAATGCCCTTGATGGAAATGGTTGATTAGTATCTTGAGAATTTGTAATTAAGGGTGTGTTTCTTCTTAGTGCCAACATGCTTTCAATTAAGTAAAAAGAACTTTTGTAGCATTTATGTTGAAATAGAGCAAAGTACTTGTTGGGTTACAAAGCTCATCTGTTTGTTGTTTTTTTAGGTGTTTCTAAATCTTGTATGTACAAGAGCTATCTATCCTTACCATTGGGTTCTACTAACAAAGTAACAAAAGTAAGTCTAACAATATTAACACTCTCAATTTAGCTTTTAGCAATATTGACACTCATTTTAGCTTTGAACGACATATAGACACTCTTGATTTAGCTTTTAACGATATAGACACTCTCGTTTTAGCTTTTAGCGATACAACGTTCTCTTATTTTCTTGGTCAACGATATATATATATATATATATATATATATATATATATTTTTTTTTTTGGGAACAAGGGGGGCTAAAAGCCCAACACAGCAAACACGTACGCAGCAACAAAACGATGCCTGGACACGCCCATGGCATCAGCATACAAAATATCCTTCAGGAAGTCAGGAACTGTCTCATAGAGATGAATCCCAGGACCAAAATCAATGCTCCTAGCAGACCTCATCAGCAGCAAAATTATGCTCACGATAGATATGGTTAATAGAACAACGCCAATCCTTATTGATCTTTGACTTGCAAGAACATATGATGCTGAAGAGGGGATAGGTGGGAATGGTAGGGCTATTAAGCATGGAAACAGCATCACAAGAATCACTTTCCACCTAAACATTACGAAAGCCAGAGTCCCAAGCCAGAGTAAGCCCCCAAAGAATACCCCACAATTCAGCACCAATAGAACCAGTAGTAGGGCTTCTACTCCCATCAGTATTTATCTTGCAGGTTCCAGTGCAAGAGAACCATTGATTGAGTGGAGATGGTAGAGTTAGGCTTCACAGTAGTTTACCACTCCAAAGCATATTGAAGGATAATTTGATGTGGTTCAACAGGCTTCACAAACTCTTGATCAAAAATACTTTTGCACCTCCATTTCCAGATAAACCACAGAAAATTAGTGAAAACCAGATGCCAAGGCAAACCATGGTACACTTTCTGTTTGGCCTGCAAATTTTTTAAAAGCCATTCTTCAAAGTCGATAGAGGAGCGATTGATCCCATCACCGGCAGGCAAGTTATTCCAAATACTAAGAGAGTAAGGACAGTCCATGAAAAGGTGAGCAATAGTTTCCATGGGGTAATTACATCTCGAACAGGCAGGGACCTGAGTTAACCCCCTCCTATGTCTTTGGACATTAGTGAGCAGCTTCTTATGACAGAGTCCAGAGAAAGGTCTTTATCTTCGGTGGGAAAGGAAGGTTCCAAATGAACTGCCATTTCCACTTCATTTCAGCATCCTCAAGAAGAAAGGAGAACTAAGCAGTTTTAACAGTGAAGGAACCATTTCCTGTGTGCTTCCAAATACATCTGTCACTACCACTGCTAGGGAGACTAGCATGCACACATGAAATTATTTGAACAATATTTTCAGGAAGACATTCCCTAAGACAGGGGAGATCCCAAACCCCATCCTCCAAGAAATCACTAACATTAAGTTGGAGCATTTCCCCAGACAAATCAGTGAGAGCATATTGATACAGAGGGCCACAACTTAGCTACTTATCAGTCCAAAACAAAACATGGTCCCCATTCCCCACACGCCACTTGATTCCTATAGAGAGAGTATGGTTGCCATAAAGCACACCCCTCCAGACATTAGAGCTGCAATGGTAATGGTAGTCTTTCACAGCTAGAAGATTCTGATTTTTGAGATACTTGGCATTGAAGACATGCACCCACAGACCTTGCTCTTGCTGAAGAAGTCTCCAACCAGTCTTAGCCAAGAGCGCTGGGTTCATCCAAGAAGCCTTCTTTATGCCCAGACCACCAGCAGTCTTAGGTTTACGATATTCTTATTTAACTTTTAGCTATATTGACACTCTTTTAGAATGTTAATATTGGCACTCTACATTCTATTGACACTCTAAAAATATTCAAAGAAATCCTAAATTCAAAATCTCCTGCTAACGGGGTCTAACCCAGTGGAAAATCGTCTTGATTTGCAAAGTTTTTAAGTTCGAACCCTCATGACATCTTGATTGTATGTGTGTGAGAAATCCCCTCCCCTCTAGTTTAGACTATTGCTTATACTAAAAAAATTAAAAAATTTGAACTTCCCCATCCTCTTTAATGAAAATAGATAAATAAATAAATCCTCCCACAAGAAAAAAAAAATTTTACTTCTCGAACCAAAATGTTTATATTATTGTGGAGGGAGTCAGCGACGGTCCGTGCTCCAGCTTTCGCCACCAGTGGCTGTTTTCTTTCTCCTCTCCCCAAACTCCAAGTCCCACCAAAACTGAGTTTCAAAAGCAGAGGAGAAGAAGATGACAGCGGCTCTAAACCTGCCTATCATAGACTTGTCCTCACCAGATTCCCTCTCCTCCGCCACTTCCATCCGTCAGGTTCTCACTGAGAAATTGTTTTCCTTTTATTTGTATTTTTATTTTATGTCGAATTGAATCGCACTATATTTATAGGAAGATAATTAATTTATAAATATGCAGGCATGCATAGAGTGTGGTTTCTTCTACTTAGTGAATCATGGTGTTGAGGAAGAGTTGCTCGGGCAAGTGTTCGAGGAGAGCAGCAAACTGTTTTCGCTGCCATTGGAGGACAAGTTGAAATTGGCTCGCAAGCAACACAGAGGTTACACCCCACTCTTTTCAGAGAACCTCGATCCCACTTCCACCACCAAAGGTTCGTTCTTTCTTATCATCCAATCTCTCATGGTATTTTGTCTTTTTTTCTTTTAAAGAATTTTTGTTTTTGTTTAGGCTGAGCCTATGGTAGGTGATTGAGCGAGACAATAAAAGTAAATTCAGTATAATTTACAAATGTGTTGGTTGAATCTACACTTTGTAACAATGGGATGGAAGTAAAAATGATTTCTTTTTTCTGAAATATATCATGGGATTATGCTTTGTGTGTACTATCTATCTAATTTGTTGTGCTGAATGGAAAAGAAGAAAGGATGTTGATTTTAGTTATTTTGGGTCGAATGTGAAACAGGTGACTCGAAAGAGAGTTATTATATCGGACCGTTAGATGACGTAACTCGCAGTAATTTGAATCAATGGCCTTCAGAAGGTATGGAAGCATTTTCTTTAATGTTAATTATGGTAGCATGACAATGAATTTTCTTATGCAGAGTCTTACATTCCTTTAAGTAAATAGTTTGTTTTTTGGTAACCTAAAAAAGTTGAATAGTTTTGTGATTGAGCATTGTTTTCATCTTGTTCCCTTTAAGGAAATATACAGATATCCTACCATCTTGGAGACCGACAATGGAATCCTACTATAGAAAAGTCCTGTAAGTGTCTCCTTGTAACAATTTTTACTTCCCAGCATTGTACATCTAGTAACAATTGTTGTTCACTGGTCACAATTCTTTTCATTATATATTTAGTATGCTTATTGGTTTCTTCATACTAATTTTATTGCACACGTCTTATATAAATGTCTATGAATGCCTGGTGCAGGTCTGCTGGAAAAAGATTAATCTCACTGATTGCCCTGGCTTTGAACCTGGATGAGGAGTTTTTCGAGAAAGTGGGGGCGCTGAATAAGCCAGCAGCAGTTCTTCGCCTTTTGCACTATCCAGGTGTAGTATATCACCCTAAAGCTTCAATATAGGTGTCTCTCTTTTTGTAATTTACTGATTACTAGTGTCGCTTAAATTTTTTTTATTTAAAATTATTGTAATTTTGTCTTATGTGTTTTATTTCAGGATAGTTTTCTTTTTTCCTTTTCTATCTTTCATGCCGTGGTATACATTATTTAGGTCAACTGGGATCAACTGATGAAGAAATATATGGTGCTTCTGCTCATTCAGATTATGGGATGGTCACTCTCCTTGCATCAAATGGAGTTCCTGGACTTCAGGCATGCTCTTTTTTTAGAGTCAATTGTTGTGGTCACCGAATACCTGATGATTCCTTGTGAAACTCAATTATGATATTCTTAGCTGGGTTTTCATTTTTAACACTTCGACAGGTTTGTAGGGAAAAATCTAAACAGCCACAGATCTGGGAAGATGTTCTTCACATAGATGGGTAAGTTCAATATCATGAATTTTCATGTAAATGGATGTATGATTGGTATAACAATTTTGAGCCCACTGTATATGTTCTTCAATCATTTATGTGCAGTGTCCCACATAACATATTTGATAAGATATATGGAGTCGCGTTGACTTTGTTATATGGATCTTTTAGACCACGCTGTTAAAAGTTAAGCACTCGCTATAGCTTTGTTATTTTTAGACCATTAATAAGGAAGGGCATTTGTTTTGGGTTATCTTACAAGCATCCTACATGTTTACGGAAGTGCATCTGTCACTGAGGGTAACATTGTCTGATGATGTTCAAATTTTGAATCTGTAGGGCATTCATTGTTAACATTGGGGACATGTTGGAGAGGTGGACTAATTGTTTGTTCAGGTAATTTGTTATTTTATTAACTTGAAGGGCTATTTTCTTCTGACCAAGCTTATACATGTTTTAAAATTTAGAACCCTGAGGCCTGCATAAATTTTCTCTTCTGTGATTTATTTGTAGGTCAACACTGCATAGAGTGATGCCAGCAGGACAAGAACGCTTCTCTGTAATCATTTACCTTGTGGTCCAATTTTTACTTGCTTACTAAGAACATTTCGTATGACTACACTCCAGAATGAAATGGTATTATTAGTTCCCATTCTATTGAAGAAGACAAACCTCCAAGTCAAATGAATTTTTTCAGTGTGCTACGTTTTGATATCCTTAAAGGAAAAAAAAACTTATGGAAATGGTTGGGCTGAACTTTTTTTGTGTGCTATCTGCAATAGCACCTGCTCTGAAAGTGTTGAACAAAATTTCTTGGACATGAAACAATGTGGTAGCATTTCCTGTTAAATAAACATAAAGTTATAGTATCTTTTGATTTTTAATTTCTAAACTAAATGCTAGTGAGAAGTTGGCTAGTTGCAAGCTGAAAATCGTAATGACAAACTTAATTTACATAAGAGGCAACAAAACTGAATTGTCTTATAATGCCACGAAAGATGCATTGTAATGGCCTTCTGTTTTTATTTTTTGAGTCTTTAAGTTCTGCTCTTTGCTCTCTTCCATCAGGGGAACTATCTTGTCATAATTGAGAGTGTCGAATTAAAATGCCTCAATATTTTCAGGTGGCATTCTTCTTAGACCCCAATGAAGACTTTGTGGTGGAATGTCTGAAAAGTTGTTGCAGTGAAGCTTCACCCCCAAGGTATATAAACCCCCCATTTCACTGTCCTCCCTGGTGTCAATTTTCACTTCCATTTACGTCAACAATTCTTTAGCTTTTCTCTGTTTTAGTTTCGTTTTGCTTAATGTCATGCCATGTAGAACTTGTCCTTACAAAATCGAAAATTCTCTTGCAAGGGAAAGGTATCTAAGAGGTCATATACTACTTGTAAGTTGTCCATTATTTCAATATGCACGTTGGAGACATGACAATCCACCATGCTTTCATGCCTAACATACTTGTCAGTCCACTCTATCAATACTGGTTTTGATAGCTGGATAGTAGTCATTTTCCTATTACATAGATGCATTTCACTTTCCTACCACGTACCAACATTCAAGGAGGACATCATACTAATGCATTTTAATCCAACCTATTGGTTACTCCTTTATGGCATGTTTACTAATCCGGAATTGAGTTAGGGGGAATTGAATTGAGGATGAATTGAATTGAGGAGGAGTTGGATTGAGGAGAATTAGATTCCGGATTCCTAATGAAGTTGTTTACTAAACCATATGGATTGAGGGGAGTTAGATTCCGAATTCCTATTGAAGTTGTTTACTAAACCATAAGGAATTGGGGTATAAGTGGTACTAATTACTAAAATGTCCTCATTTTTTGGTTAAAGTAGATGGTGTATTTGGAATTTTGAAAATTGTGTGAGGATATAATGGGTAAAAAAGATGAATTCCTAATGGGTGAATTCTCCAGGAATTAGAATACCACCTTGTTGCGTAGATTTAGCTCCACCAAAATGGATTCAGCTGCATCCTCAACTTGTGATACTCGCAAGTGCACGAACCGTTGGTAGTATAGC